AACGTTCCAGCTAATGCCTTCTTTGTATGGTCATCTGTGTCGTCCTTCACGGACCTATTCATAAGATCAAAAAGTTGATCAGATCTCTGCTTAACAAGTTGAATAGCAACATCACGGCATAATACCAAATTGTTTATGAGTTGTATGGACGTTCGTTTCAACAAGTTGTTATTGTCACGCATACAGAGCTCAATTTTCTCATATTCTGTCTTGAAAATATGTTCTCGCATGTTGTTAACACTAGCTAGATTGCACAAAGCTGTTAGAGCATCGCATCTCTCATTAATGGAACGCTCCGGGTTCAAGAGATTTGAGATCGGCTGTACAACCTCCATGATTATCTGACCGGGAAATGCAACTTCAGGAGACGTCGTGAGTGCTAGATAGACCAGGGCTCGCGTAGCATCTATCTTTCCTATGTCTGTGCCATTCAGCGCTAACGACAATAATGTCTCCGTGCCGCCTTCTTGAACAACCATTTTTCTCAAATCTTGTTGACTGCATATTGCGTTGAAAACGCGGGCTATTAATTTCTTGCTATTCTTGCTGCCTGTTTTAGCGAGGCTCACCAAAGCGCTGGTCACACCGGCCTCCGCTAACACGCGCCGTCTTTCTTCCACGTAGTCGTCCTTGGCCCGTATGTGATCCTTATCAAAATTAAAATAATTGACAAACCTTTCCCTCTCGATTATGAAATCATCCTTGTCATAAGCGCTGCACAAGTTCACCAGCAATATGTCCACTTGATAGAGAATCGATTGACTTTTAGTTTTGGCAAACTCGATTATCGCTTGAACGGCTTGTTGGTCTTGGATCAAATCGTCTTTGACCCCGAGGTCGAGAGTGAGATATGACAGACCTTCAACGGCCCATTTTCTCATATCTCTCTGAGAATTGGTCAAGAATCGTATGCAAACCTTCAGCCATGTACCTATCTGTTCCTTATCGAACGTAAGAACAGCCTGCAATTTGTCTTTCAACACTGTGAATTTGGTCATCTTACAAATACCCACAAACGCTCGAATCCGAATTGAATCTTTCAGGTTCTCAGAATCATGCGAGTCCTTAGAATTATCCAAGTTATCAGAATTGTCCAGATCCGTAGAATTATCCGGGTCCTTAGAATCATTCGGGGCAAGATGACACAGATCTTGCAATATAGTGAAACCTCGACGTATGAACGTGTTGAATGTGTCATATTTGGTTACAACGGCATAGATAAATTCGCAAATCACTTTTCTTATCAATAAGTCATTTCCTGTCCCTATCAAGAAATCAACAATCATATCAGCCAGTCCGTCTTCAGTAATAAATGTGTTTGCAACATTAAACGGGCCGAATGTTAATGTTGTCATTGCAACTATTGCACGCACCTGTAAAACAAACAATTAACAATTTATGAATTTTTACGATTTGTGAAACAATAATTATTTTTTTTTAAATCAAGACAGTTTCAGTGTTATTAAACTTTGATTAAAAATAAAAGAAATCTCTAATTAAGAGTATATTAAGCTTCAGAAAATACGATAAATGAAAATCATTCTCCAATTTCGATTAAACTGTTGTTATCATATTTTAATTTGAAACATATGGAATATACAATATCGACAATTTCTCAAATATATTACAGTAAAAAATATGCTCCATTTATTTTAAAACAATTTAAGTCATCGGGAAAGATCGAAAGTTACAAAATTCATACATTAGATGTTACAGTCGTCAAATCCAATTCATCTCCAAAAAAGTCAGTAATGATGTCGAAGAATTTCTTAGCATAATCATTGTACAAGTTTTCATATATTTTTGCTAAACACACACTGGTTATAGTTTGCGTGGAAGACGTGATATCCAACAAAGATTCGTGTTGGTATTCCTTCAATTGACTGGCTACTTTCATTAATGTTTGCAAACCGCCAAACTTGATCAATTGTTTGGCCCAATCTAACGCAGTATAATGAATGTTACGCGTAATAAATTCTATTAATGCGTCTCTAGCAATGCCTGTTGTTGTTTCATTCTTTATTTTATCCAACAAGCACGACAGAATTGTGTCAATTTCTTTTTTATGCAGCATGCACAATGCCTCGTTGGGTTTTGAATCGGGTTCATCGTTCATGCCGCTGTAAGTGTTCAATACATTCTGAAATCGAATTGTACAATAAATTAATTACTGAAATACGTGCATGCTACCTACATTCTAGTTGATTATATTTACCTGTAAACAATATTGTGATGCGTTGACTCTCTCCGTAGATGTGCTGTTCATCATTTCCAGACACCAAGGTAAAACAACTTTTATCATAGTGGACTTAATTCGATTAACATTGTTTTTGCATAACCCGGCTACAATACGAATCGAGCTACAGATCACTTCATCATCTTCTCTTACTTCCTTTATGAAGATCTCGTAGGCATCATTTCTCCAACGTGTAAGCTTAAGCAAAGTAATCATGGCGTTTTCACGTTTCTCCTTCTTTGCGTTCACGTTAAATGTTAGACCTATCATTTGTGATACCTAAAACAAAACAAAAGTTAACGTACATTTATATATAATAATGGTCTGTAATAAAAATATAATCTAACTGCAAAAGATTATATTTGTATGACGTAATATTTACTCATATAGTGTGTAGATTATTAATTGATAAAAAGAAATAATATATTATATAACAAGAAAGACAAGAACTCAAATCTGTTTGTTAAATTATATTAAGCATGAAAAATGTGTTATTATTTTTATATTATCTAGACTAAATTAACACGTGTTTTGCAAGTGGATAAATTTTTGTAGTTATATATTTATTTTGACATCAATACTACTTGCTTTTTCCTTAATATGTTTGTCTGAAATTTCATGAAATTGTTCCGCTATGTGCTTAGGTAGTGAATCATTTGAGCAAGATGAAATAATTTTCTCGTCCTGATTCTTCTCGAATGCCTCCTCGTACCTCTCTAACTCTATTAATGCCAAAA